CCGCCGAATCGCGTGACGTCCCCGATGGCGACGACACCAGCGTGGCACACAAGCTCGCTGTCGACAGCAACTACGTCGCAGGTGCGCGCCAACGTCGCTCGATGCTGGACGGGCGACACGAGGCTCCAGATGGCGGCTGCGATCCAGACTGCGATGCTGCTCGCATCAGCATAAATGGCCGTGTACTGCTGCGTCACGATCGAGAAGGCGTCGTTGAGGAGGTACACAACCCATGTGGCCTCGCCCGCCGCCATGATGGTCGTAAACCACGACTGTGGCAGCGACACAAGGTAGAAGAATCCGTGGGACTCGCCGAGGTCGAGCTTGGCCGTCGAGAGTAGGCAGAGCGCCGTGACGCCGCGGAGCATGAGAAGCGGCCGCCCGAGCCAGACGAGTCCCGTGACGCGGTTCAGCGAGAACATGTTGAAGCCCTCGATGCAGCCGCGCGTCGCTGCAATGTACGCGATCGCGAGACACGCCACGAACAAGAGGACACTGCTCACGTAGAGCAGCTCGCAGCGAAAGAAGAAGGCGACGTTGACGGGGATCTCGAGCGCGTTGACGGGCCCAATGTGCACGGGGTTGCGCGTCGAGAGAAGGGCTAGGGACCCACGGATGCTGTGGAATTCCACGACTTCGCGGATCCCGCTGAGCCATTCGAAGAGGTAGAGCCAACCAAACGCGTGGAACCCCGGGTCTCTTGGGTCGAGGACGGTCTCGTTGCGCAGCTCAATATGCCCGGCGCCGTCGCTAGTCGACGCATTGATGTAGTGCGCGATCGCTACGGGCAGCTCGCTCTGCAGATACGCCGTGGGGGCCGCGTTCGAGACTGATGTCCACTCGTCTGCCGAAAAGAGCGTCAAGAGGAAGAGCAGGGAAGCGCGGAAGACAGCGTTGCAGGTACCGCTACTCTGCATTGTTGCGTGCGCGCACGTTGCGTTAATATCAACGCCGGGCCCGAGCGCGAGCAGCGCTTGCGTCGTCATGAGCCCATCGACGACCAGCACATCTTCTTTGTGGCCGGCGCAGACGCCAACGTTGGAGTAAAACACTTGGACGGTCTCGCCCGACCCTTGCACCGGACATGTGATGTCGCCACCGAGGAACGGACGGGCAGCAACACCCTCCTGCCACAATGTCGGCGCAGCGCTGATCGACACGGCCGACCCTATGCCTCGAAACGGGGAAGCAGCAGTGCTATTGGCCGACGCGAGCCGCTGGCTCAAAAATGCTTTCGTGTGCGTGTACCAATACACGAGCGAAGCCGGGTAGGCCACGCGCCGCAGGGCGACCGACCCGAAAGGGCCAATCGCGTGGACAAAGAGCTCAGAGCCTATATCCAGGGGGCTCGAT